CAGGATGTGGGAAAGTTACTTGTTGGACTGCAACCCCCATCACTCCCAATAAATATCCCTCATATACTGGCCTGATGGCTGTAATAAAAATGATTTGATAAATATCCCTCAGAGAGTGGTGGAGTCTCCTTCTTAGGAGGTCTTTAAACGGAGGATGGATGGCCATCTGTCAGGGATACTTTGATTTTGAGTTCCTGCATGGCAGAATGGGGTTGGACTGGATGGCCCTTGTGGTCTCTTCCAACTCTATGATTCTATGATTCTATAAATAACATTTTAAATATGTTTTTATTGTACTAGTTTCTATATATTGTTTTGGAATAGCTATATACCCTATCTGTCTATGTGTATGTGTTTGATTATATATTTCAGTTTCTAAAATGTTTCCAAAACCAAATTATCCAAGTTTATTCAAAGAATAAGAAAAACAAAGACAGAAGTCTCAGTTTTGACCTTTAGAATGTTGTTTCCTTTGAACCCAGAATACTTCTCATATTGATTTCTCTCTGTGTTAATCCACTAGAATATTATTGCTCAATAAACATGGGGTGTGAAACAGAGATGCTCTTGGCATTTACTAGAGTCAGATTTGATGAACAAGAGCAAGAGAACCCATCAGACTTTATGACCAGAAATTTCATGCTATATAGTTAGTTAGGATATTTTTTTAAAAATTCTGCACAAAAGAATAGACATATCAAACTCCAATAGTTCTGCTCTGATCACAGAACGTATTGCTGTTTTGCTGTTTTATGTATTTCCTTTTTTACTTTGAGATTTTATTTATTTATTTGGCAGGAAAGGATTCTTTTGAGCAGGAGTAAAAGATAAAATCAGATTAGCTTAACCGAAACTTGCTAATCAGAAAAAAGGCAGTTGTGCTGGAAATTGGTCTCTAGAAGTCTCTTTCCTATACATACACAGCCACAGTGCAGGGCACAAAACAGACACCATATTCTCATCTCTGATCTCTCTGTGTCTGGCCTTTGTCTTTTCATGTCTATCTAGAAGTCTGAAGCCATTCATCTCTTTCATTGCTCTGATCTCATACTTCCCTTCCTCAGATACCTAGTCTGGCTTTCTCAGGATCCAACACTATCTTCCTGTCCTTATCTTCAAAGTCTTTACCAAACAGGTCTCCCCCCACCCCAATATTTCATCCATCCTTCATTCCTCCACCACCTAACAATCTCTTTCCCTTAAAGTCTCTATCCTTGCTGCTCTTTGCCTTTGTGTTACTGCCTCCTAAAATGATTGTGCTGCATCCCATCATTTCCTTTAAATTCCTCCTCAAAAAACACGTTTCCCTGAAGGCTTTGGGACAACCTTTTCTGTGCTTGCATCTTGTCACTCAGTGTGAGCAGAGCCTGGAAACATTACTCTGGCCATAATGCCTTGGGGATCCAGCCTTTAGTATGAGCACAGACCGTTATGCCTGCTGAAATTTTGTGGGGTGTTTTGGGGTTTTTGCATTGTTTTCCTTTGCTTAATTTGTTACATCTTTTGTTACATGCCCCTAAATTTTACTCTCAACTTATCTATGAGTCATATCAAAATCCATCATTTCAGTCCCAAAGCTGCCCTCAACTTATATATGAGGTTGACTTATCATCGAGTATATATGGTATGTCAGATGAATAAATCAGATCCCTTGAGCAAGGGCCAGTCATCATGTCTTCTGTAAAAAAAATTATACATGGTGATGGTATAATTAGTTAAATAATTATTTGGTTCTGGCAAGTCCAGGCTGGAATTCCAAATCCTCCAATCAGGGACAGCTCCAACCAAGCAAGGAGCTTCCTTTCCTCTGCCCCCATCCCTCTACCATTTCTGGACTCGTGTGATTACTTGAAGAAGGGCATTTTCAATATATATACAAATGCACTCATATTCTATTATCTCAGTAGGTCAGAAATAGGCAAAATGCAGCGGGTGGGCTACATATGCTTCCCAAAGCCTTTTTGTAGTCACCCAAATTATTATTCAGATCCATATGAAATGCAGCTCCCCCACCAAGACATAGACTTCCCCTTCTGTGCCACTGGGATTGTTTTCCTTGGTGCCATTATTGCCTCTGCAGAACATGACTGACATTCAAATGACTAGAGGCACCCCCTGGCTATGCAGAATGGTAACCACATACCTTTTTCTCTGCACAGAAATACACCAGAGCCGAAGCATCTGTTGTTATTGTGTGATTTCAAATCATTTCCTGCTTATGGCAACCCTAAGGCAAACTTATCGGGAGGAGGGGGGTTCATGGCAAAATTTGGTCAGAGGGAGTTTGCTTTTGCCTTCCTCTGAGGCTGAGAGAATGTGACTTGCTCAAGGCCACCCAGTGGCTGAGCAAGGATTCGAACCCTGGTCTTTAGAATCACAGTCCAACACTCAAACCACTACACCCCACTGACTCTCCTGGAACATTTAGCAAAGCCCCAAAAGTTATTTTTTGGGTTACAACTCTGAATTCTTCAGAGGATTCTAGGAGTTACAGTTAAAACGGATCAATTTTCCAGGGATCTAGATAGCAATCTGTATTTCATTTTTCAAACCAAAAAGTGTCGAACTGGTTTATTTTAAAGCGCTCACTAAAATATTAATTTAGCGTAAGTCTTTGTCATTCCTCATTGCTGAAATAAATAGAAACGTGTATGATGGGCCAAGTGAAAGCTTTTCAAGATCCCTGGCTCTGTTCTGAATTTTAATGAGTTGGTTTGGTTGTCTACGCTGCCTACAGGTCAGATTGCATTTCATCTTTTGGTATTAGCAATTAAGATTTTCTAAAAAAAAAAAAAAACACCAAAAGGAAACAAAACACTGAAGGCTTGTAAGAATGGCTCCCATTTCCCCTTCTTCAATAGGTTCCACAGTGATTTTTTTTTCTCTCTTCCTGGCAAATACCCTCTTTTCTACTTTATCTATTGTGCTATTGTTTATAGTGGATCTGCCACAGATTTCCACTGTTCTTTAGGCCATTAATTTTAGCCAGACAAAGAGCAATTCATCTCTACATGGCCTTGCTGACAGTTGTGGGGCAGCCTTATCCTTCACAAGTACCGTACCTTATCCTGAGTTTTATTATCCATAATGTGTGGCTCATCCTTGGATTGAATGATAGGTGAAGTGAAGCTATGGAGATTATCGCATTAATAAATAAGGTGACTTATCTCTCCCATGTTGTAGTCTCATTTGGGATGCAGCCAGGTTCTATCTCATGGATTTTGCTACTGATGCTGCCTCCCACCTAAAACCCACCTAAAACACGGCTAGAATCTATGCTCAACTGGCTGCTTTTCACTTTTGGGAGATTCCCGGCTTTGCAAATAGGCCAGCTGAGGGTGGATTTTAGCCAGGTTTTTGCTAGGATGCAGTTGGGAGGCAGCAACGATGGCAAAATTCATGCGATAATACCCAGCTGCATCCAGTATTTGTCCCTAATTCAGAAGAGGTAAGCTGCCTTATTTAGTAATGCGATAATCTCCTAAACCAAGCCTGCAATCAGTCGCTATCATAATATTACATGGCTGTGCTAATGTATGAGAAATATCTCATTTGTACTATTACAAATATTAAAAATATTTACTGTAAATTACAGGTATAACTCAATTAATAGAGAACAATAAATGTGTACCTGGGCATTCTTTCTTTAATAGAAAAGTTGATACTGGAGGTAGAAATAATATGGAAAGAATAGGGATATGTTCCTATGCCACAAAAAAAGAAGAGCAATTCAACATGTTTCAGCAAACTTTTAATTCAGTAACTAACAATATGCACATGTGAAATGAAACAGCAAGGTGGTAGCATGCTGGACGTAGCTGGTGGAGCATGTTAATCTTTTCCTTTTTGCCATTTACACAAACTCAGTAAAGGATTCAGGAGGCAACTGATGTTTATCTAGCCTGTTGTAGCTTGCCATACACACCTACTGAAGGATTGGCTAGAATAGAATCCAAACCTTTTTCAGCTCAGGTGTTATTGCATTGTGTACTGCAAACATGCTGCTGCATACTAACAAGGAGAAGAAGTGTTTTTTTTTTACAGTCTTCAAGTATTCTGCTAAAAAAAACTATTTCAGTCCTCAAATGTTGCTAAAAAAACTTCCAGCTAGACAGAGGACAAGGAGGAAAGGAAGAAGGCAAGGTGGCTGTAATAAGGATATAAAAAGGACCTTCTTTGTCAGAGGCTTGCTTGAGGTATGCAAGTATATGTTTTAGTTATGCTTTGTTTTCTGTTATTGCAAGTTTCTTCAAGCTGCAAGGAACCTAGGATGGACCTAGGAGCTTATTGCACTGCTAAAATAAAGCATTTTTCCTGTCTTGAATTCAGTCTTAATTCAGGCTGCATCCAGATCCTATCACAGTGATTTTGCCACAGAAACCTCTGCCTGCGTCCTGGGTGCTGAGCTCACCTCTTTTCGAAACCGGGAGTTTTCCAACTTAAAAAAAAATAGCTGCCAGAGCGCTCCTGGGACCAGGGTTGGAACCAGGCTGGACCTGGGTGGTGGTTTTGGCAGCAGAATAGCTGTGATAGGGTCCAGATGCAGCCTGAATTAAGATTGAATTTGGGACAGGTAAAACACTTTATTTTAGTGATGCAATAAGCTCCATATTCTAGCATTGCCATCCTATCCTCAAGATATACTTTGGGGATGAGGACAGAATCACTGCTAACTCACCTTGCACCAGTACAGGTACAGTGGATTTATGCATACTGGCCAGTTTGTACTACTTTGTGCTATCAGTAAAAATGGGTGGGATTTAGAAGATAGTTGAAGGATCTAGTTGGAATGTTATGCTAGTTTTGAAGTACCCACTTCTGAAAATGATGTTATGATAAGCCTTCATAAGATTTATGACAGGGTCATAGAGTTCAAATACCTGCAACCAGTTGTGTCACATCACCGTAGGTATAAAAGATCTAGCAAAGGTAAGCATTGATGTATGAGTTGTACATCAGTTATCTGTATCACATATTCAGAAAAAGGCATATGAACTTGATGTTTGCCCATCCATTTTTATTTGGAAAACCTGGCCATGGTCACTGGGGTTTTATGGGATGTGACGCTCAAAAGATAACTTGAAAGCAACCTATTTTATCTGTGTTTTATTTAATATTGAGTTTGTTTTTCCTTGCTGTCCCCTCAAACAGAATGCATATGGTGAGCTATAGAACCCTTTAAAATTAGAAACATAAATTGCAAAGCTCTTTCTTACAGGAACAAATGTATGCTTTACAACTAAATCCTGAGCAGCACTCTAAAAATAAGGCTTTAGTGTATTTGATTTACCAACATATTTTTGTTATTAATATTTGCAAGCTTTCCAGAATGCTCTATTTTGCCATAATGTTAAGTCACTGATTTCCACATGGTGCATGTGTTAGCTAAAGCTGTTTCCTGAACTACAGTCAAAGCACAGAAAACCCCAAGGATATCAACAGTGAGGACCTAAAAGATCAATTATGCAATGCAATTATTTAAATTTTAATTTGACATGATTTTGCTTCAGTTCTTCCTATCCTTCTAGATGACATGCTTACATTAGCTTCTGTGATTGAGGTAAGTTATAAAAAGAAAACAACAATTCCGCTGAAAACATGTGTAATTTGTCAATTTGGCAAGTAAACATTTCATGCTCTTGAAATGTAAAAACTGTTGATAATGAGATCAGAATGAGATCAAATTCATTCAGAGGCTGGAACATTATTACAACTTCCAGAATCACAGATCCTCTAGTGATTGTGAGCGCTGTAGTGAAAAGAAGTAACACTGCAAAGCTCTCATTTCACCTAACTGCTCCCTGGCTGTGATGCCAAAGAAGAGGGATGTGGGAATGTCTCCAAGATGATCTAGGCAAACAGATTGTGTACAGACTTCTTAATGTGGTTGCTTTAGCACAGTCCCATCTTGCTCTTCTTGGAGATATTCTTTCTTCTGTTATCAGTGTTAAGAAAAGACATGAACAGACTGAGGAGGTGGGAGATGATAGTCTCAGGGCCCCTTCAACAACATATCCTAGGAGTTGTCCAATTTTTCAAAAGCTGGTACTGACTAGGCACAGAAGGTAGACACATGTTTTCTGTCAACTTTGAGTGAAAAGGTATTAAGAACAGAAAACTGGAACCCAATCAAAGCTGATGGCTGACATTGGAAATCTTCCATTGATTGCCCAAGAGTTTGGCTCAAGTTTAAGAATGTTGTTTTCTCCTGTTATTTGTTGTTTTCCCTTTCCACATTAAAATTTTCATTCAATTCTTCATATACATTTTTACTTTGGGGGAGAAAACAGAGTGAGATTTGCTCAGCTTACAAACACCTTTTTGTGTGGAGCTGGATAGCTTAGGTTACATATTATGGTTTTTTTCCCCATTCATCATCCACCCCATTTAGGATGTCTGGTGCCGGCATTTTGTGCTGTGAGTGTACATTTTACTTACAGGGTAATAAAAGCTATGGTAAGAGTAAGATGGTAAATAGTGTTCCAGCATCATCTACAAAGGCAAAAATATATAAACACTAATGAGTAGCTATGTGACACTGTCTTTTGATCACTCTTGTTTAATTGAAGGTTCATCATATGTCAGACATGGCATAATCTTCAAAACATGATAGATTTGGGGATGGAAGGAGCAAAAAAATTACTTTGTAAACAATACAGGTACTCCCCACTATCCCTGGAAAAATAGCACAGTTCTTCATGCATCTGTCTGAAAGGCTATCCTTCTTCTTTGCTCCTGTTCTTGTTTCATATTAATTTGTCTTTTCCCTTTTGACCCAGTCCGGACCACTGCCCAAAGAGAGAGCCAGGTAAGTGGAAATTGTTCCTATTTCCTGTCACTACACACTTAGAACTTTACTTAAGGCTAAAAAGCAGAATTTTAACAGGTCAAAAGCATCTTTGGCTGCTACTTGTCACACGGCGTCTTGTCCATCCTGTTGCTGCCTTGCATTCCATTTGTAACTGTTGTGCACCTTTTCATTGATGGGCAAAACTGTTCTATATGATTTCAATCTCAGTGCTATTCCATTACTGCCTTTGTGTGATAGGTCCCTTCTGCTGCAGTTCTTTTTTCCAGACAGTCATGTGGCATGAGTGGACGTGATTCTGCTCCTCTCCTTTTCTCCCTTACAGCAATCATGCAACCAACAGTTTCCTGTAGCTGGCTGCTGTGTGCACATCCACACAGCAGCCAGCTTTAGAAGGCAGTTGACAACCAGGAATTCTTGTCCCCAAACTCCTCTCGAAGGCAGTGTTTGCAGTACAGAAAACAGACCACATTACCATGGATCACTAAAGCATTGTTGTGGGGAAAAGTGTGATAAGAAATTATGCCAAAATGGTATGCTTCCATTCTTAAAATAGTGTGATCATGGCAGGACAATAATAATAATAATAAAAATTATTTTTAT